CCACGAAATAGGGCTTAGAGAAATGTGTCAGAGAGCCCATGACCAACTCCTGATGTTTCACTTTAGTATATGCATTTTTTTGTTTGTTTGTTTTGTTTGAGGGTAGGTAATTAGGAGCCTTGGCCTGTAGGGTTCTTGGAGTGATTACAGGTGATTTATTATGTTATTACAACCCCAGTGTACGTTACAAACACCATTAGGAGAAGCAGCATGGGTTCAGAATCTACCCTGCCAGACTAATCTTCATAAAACAACAGGAGTTCACTCCAAACCAGTTATGCCAAACTGAACTCATTTCCTTTGTTGATGGGGTTACTAGACTGCTAGGCTTCAGCAGGATAGAGACCCGTGAGCCCGGTACAGTTAAACAGATTTATAATTGGTTGAACAATCCCATGCAAAGACCGATGATTAATGAATCTGTGTCAACTTTAAGGGAGGTCTCTAGGCATTTGCTGCAGGTCCTGGGCAACATTTTTGTTAATGACTTGGATGGGCTCACAGAGCATGCTGATCAAATTTACCAAGAGGGTTGGTGGCTGTGTTGGATGACAGGGTCAGGATTGAAAAAGATCTCAGCAGACCGAAGTGATGGCCCGGGTACAGCAAGAAGGGATTTAGTAGGGATAAATGTGAAGACTTACATTTAGCTCTATGAGGTCAGCTGGATGTGCTGAGGCCGGATGTGACATGGCATAACACAGGGGCAACTGAGGAAGAAGACTTAGCCCAAGGCAGAGGCCTGGTGCCCGAGGGGCAGCAGGGACAAAGTGGAATGTGTCCTGAGGCCATGAAGGGTCTGAAGCCGGTCTGTAGGAAGAGGAACAAGAGCTGAAGGATGGGTACTCTGGAGCCCCAAGGTCTAGGGTTTAGGCCGCCTGTTATTAATTATTTGCAGGCTGGTAAAATGGAAGATGAATTAGATACGTCTCAGTGGTCTCAGAGGGTACAACTCACAGCCATCGGTGGAAGTCATAGCTTCCTAAAATTTCGGGAACTTTCTCAACAATTAAGGAAGTAGGAACACATAGTGTTAAGAGTGCTGGTTTGAATCTCAGACACGCCACTTAATAACTGCTTAATAAACCTCCATGACCACTTAATGAAAACCTTTGGATAAGTTTTCTCTTTTATTTTCCTGATACTAAAACATCTAGCAGCTGGTCTGCTATGCACAGGGACTCGAAAGACAGCTATTTTTGGAATGGTCATTGCTATAGTTGCTTAGAAATGGAAAGAGTGGCCTTAGGTGGAATTGAGTTTGAGCATAATTGGTATGAGGGGAAAGGACTTTATGTCTCTTATGTGGAGGGGTGGAGTGATTAGTAAGGGCCATTTAGTAATGAGATCGACATCTTTGGGACAAAGTGAAGTGTATGTCCCACGGGTAATAAGGTAATCAGGGAGGGGTATATGCCTCAACCATTTATTTTCTTCTAGGGTTGTTCTCAGCAGGTAGGTTTTGTGACTCACAGTGCCAGCAGAGTTAATTTTTTCCCTCAAATTGTGAGCAGCTGAAACTTGACCTATGGGCCAGATATAAAGTAATTCATGATTTTAAACTAGTTTCCCTTTATTGAGTCCAGGTGATAGATAACGTTAGGCAGTGAATGAATCATCTTCCACATATCTTTACAATCATATTTGAATATAGTGACATAGGAACATTATATGATAATCACACAATACATATATTACATTTAACACAGTGACACGGGAATGTTCTATAATAAATATCACAGGAACATTGAGCAGAAAGCAATTAATTCTGACTGGAGGATTAGGAAAGGCTTCTTGGAGAAAGTGGCATTTGAATTGGGGCCCCTGGAAGAGTGAGATTTTAATAGATGGGAGTGAGGTGGAGGCAAGGCCTTCCAGGCTGGGGAATGGCTTAAGCAAAGGCACAGAAGTAATTAGCAGAGATAATGAGCCATCTTCCCAGGGCTAACCCTGCCCTTTTTCTTGGGGATACCTTCCTCACTGCCATCATCAATGACAGCACACTGACATGAAGCTGTAGAAAAGACTTTGCATTCAGTGACTTGTCATTTTTCCCATGCCGAGGTTCTTTTTTGTTTCATTAATAAAATCAACGAAATGCTTACAACATGTGTGTAGAGCACCTGAGCACGAAGGCAGGTGACCTGGGGGACTCAGCGAGAAAGCTTTAGGCTGTGAGAGAGGTGCACAGAGGAGGGAGGTCTTAGGTCCCACCTGGAAGCAGCCTGGGAGAGGCTTTTTAGGCTTTGAAAAGGGCTCTTCTGTCTAGAACCACTACCAGGAAGGGATCTGAGCATGGCAGTCCAGCAACAGAAGCTGTTGCACTGTTATTATCATTTACTCCTTTATACACTGGACAAGGCCTGGCAGGTCACTGGGGAAGCAAGACCCGAGGCCAGGGTGGTTTTCCCCAAGGAGAGATGGAAAAAGATACTACTTCTGCCTGTTTCAGTTTGTCCAGCTCCAGACAAGCACTAGGGCAGAACAGTGTTTGGGGAGCTGTCCTGGCCCAAATTGAGCACAACTGGCCTAACAGTGAGTAACAGGCAAGGGGAGTGGTGGCTACTAAATTTATATATTGATGGCACTTAGTGACAAGAATCATGTTAGAGGGTATTATGGTTTGAATGTTTGTATCCCCTCAAATTCATATGCTGATACCTAATCACCAGTATGGTGATATTACAAGGTGGGTCCTTTGGGAAGTGGTTAGACTATAAAGGAGCTCTCACAGTGGGATTATTATCCTTAAAAAAGAGGCCCCAGAGAGCTGCTTTGGACCTTCCACCATGTAAAGACACAGAATCCATCTATGAACCTAGAAGCAGCTTTTCCCAGACACTAAATCTGCTAGTACCTTGATCATGGACTTGGCAGCCTCTGGAATTTTGAGAAATAAAGTTATTTATAAGCTACCCCATCTATGGCATTTCGTTACAGCAACCCAATTCAAGAGGACCTGCAACTCAGGGAGCAGCTCAGGATTCCAGAAGTCAGCTTCAGTGTACCTTGTCTAAGCCAGAGTGTTTGTCTCAACCCTTTACTTAGTGTTTATTGAGCTTCTGATCCAAGCAAAAAGGTTTGAGATACATTTTGCTAAACTCATAATTTGTCATTGGCTCTAGGTGACTATCCAGCAACTGGCAAGAATCTCAGAATGGAGCCAACTGAGATAGACATCACTGTACTTCTTAGCCTTGTCAAGCGGGTGCCACCCCATCTCAGGAAGAGAGAGCAGGTATAGAAATTCTCTCACGTTTAGGGATTAGCTTTACGAAGGATGATGCTAACCAAAGAAAATGATTGTGCAGGTCACTCAGTCTGGACTTCAATGTCAGATAACTAATTAACTGTGACTTAAGTTCCATGAACATTTCTATTTGAGATGGGAATAACTGATCCTTCATCTTTGGCTAAAGACGTAAGAAGTGAGTTAGGAATGAGCCACAGCATTAAATCACTGAAAGCAAAAACAAAACAAAACAGAAAAGCAGTTATTTGACTTATTTCTGAACCTAACATCTATTTATGTTTCTAGTTTTGGAAGATTAACCCCTCCATTCCCATCACTTGAACACATCAACCATTATTCGGGCATCTCAGCTCAGAGACACCCAGAATTAACGTCACAGGACCTGTGGGGCTGAGTAAATGGGAGCACGCATGACCAAGGACCAAACTGTTCCAAGCTGGTTGGGAAAGAAAGGTCAGTCCGTCAGCGTCTGGCTAGGGCACAGCACTGTGGGCAGCCTGCTTAGCTATTGTACAAATGGTGCCTATGATGACAGAGTCATTTCCAACAGTTCCAATGTCAAATAATCAAGGATCGCTTCTGCCGAATTTGCTCCTTTTTTTTCTTTTTGCTAAATTTGCTTTCTTTTGATGTAATTTCACTCATCAAAAGATAATTCCTTAAATTTTATATATACATATAATCAGTGTAGCGTAATTATTTTGTCTTTGAAAAACTTGTCACGTAAGTTAACATGCCTAAGAACAAAACAAAACCAACAGACGGACCATTTGTGTGCTGAGGCCATGCATTCTATGCTTTGGTTTTGGAAAATCTGGTTATGGGACTGTAGAGAAATAAAAATCTTTTTTGTTCATTTATAAAGGGCACTTCCTTGTTAGCAACACAGCATAGCACAGCCTAGAAAGGTAGAAGTGCGATCTGGGAGTTTTGGCATGGTTGCTCCCCAAAGTAACTTCTGGGGTTTCAGGTAGTTTGAGAGAAGCTGGAAAGGGAACGATATTCACAGAGCATCTCCCTTGTGCTTGGCTCTGGCCAAGTGCTTCACACACAACTTCTATGATCCTTGAACTGCTATCTGAGGTGGGCAAGAACCCAATTTATAGACAAGGATATTGTGGCCCACTGCTTATGGCCCTTGAAAAGGCTAAAGAGTGGATTCATTAAATTAAAACAAATTTATACAAGGCATACCAATAAACTACATTTTACCAGCAAAAGGAAAAGCAAGGGAAAAGTCTGTTTGATGAGAAAGATTAAGACGGCCACTGCTCACAGCACAGAGCCCCACTAAAGCCACAGAAGAATGTTACTGTGCTTGATGACAACTTTGGAGGTGATCCTGTATCTGCACCTTCTTCACATACCAAAAAGGGAGCTCTGGCTCTCCCCCAGGGTTCCTGTCTCACACATGTGAGTTACTAGAGATAACTCTGAACTTAACATGAAAAATCTTTCCTAGAAGCTTCTGCTTTGACTCAAGAGAAACTAAAAGTTTTCAGAGTACCAGTGTGTATTACCCACACTGTTTCCAAGGAATCCCAAGTGGAGAATGCAATATATTGTTTTAATTACCACAGGATAATAGCCTCAGACTTCTACCAAGAAGAAATGAGTATCACATAATGAGCAATAAAAGCTATTGTGATTATTGTTATTGCTTCTATTCAGGCCAGACCTCAGTGAGACTGGGACAGAGGCCAACCTTCCTTTGAATTCCAGTCTTCTCTACCCCATACATTCTGTTCTTCTCTGATCATCATTTCTTTCTTCCTTGTACACAATTTCCTTCCCTCGAGGAGTCCAGCCCTTTCCACGAAGAAGAAGAAGAAAGCCTGGATTAAACGCATTTATACAAAAGTAATAGAGATGTAATGTGTTGCCTCTCCCGGGGGTATTTACATTTTAAAACTCTGGCCTAGAGGGGACAATACTTAATTCAAAGAAACAAATTTCCAGTAGTGGAATTGGAGACCTCACTGAAGGAAGAGTTTCAAGAGAGACTTTTGAGAAGAGGATACTGGAGGTGACAAGAGGAGGGACAGAATTCTTCTCACCAATTTTCATTACAAAAGGATAATGGCCTAGAATTAGTCATTTGGGTGGCATGGAATTAGTTTGCCCCTTTCCCATATTTGTGGAGGAGCCTGTTATCCTTCCTTGACAGAGGGATGGCCTTGGTATCCTTTATTGCTTTCTAAATAGAAATGACTCATTTGAGCCAGGTGTGGCAGTGTACATCTATCTGTAGGACCAGCCCTTGAAAGTTTGAGGCAGGAGGATCCCTGTGAATTCAAGGTCAGCCTGGATGGGCTACACAGTGAATTTAAGGCCCGCCTGAACTACATAGCCAGACCGTGTCTTGAAACAAACGCACACACACAAACAAAATGATTCATTTGAGTTGTTGTTCAACTGAAGTCCGATCAACAGGTGGGAATGGAAATTCACCATAAGGTGGTGATACAAAGGAGTGAAATATGCTCACTACCTTCACAGAGATTATAATTCCTATGGGGGATGGAGATAGTTCTCGTCTATGTTGCAGTAGGTCAATGGTCTAAAGTGTGTTATGGAGAACTATGGAGGGAAGAATTGTCTATCCATTCCCTCTGCCTCCTTGTAGCAAGATGCTATCTCTATGTAATATACTGTATAGAAGATCTGAGCCTCCACTTGTTACCCGTTGTTGGGATACAAGTGCATTTGCTATGAGATTTTTGGTGTGCCTTTTTCTGCAAAAAACCAGGTTACAATCATCAACAGTCCTTCCACAGGGAGCTACGAGATCTCCAGAAGAGAAACTTGGCCACATTCATCTCAGCCTCCACCCCCACTCCTCAGTCTTACTGATCCTGCAGCCTGGTCTTTCTTTTTCGACCACTGTGGATGGTCTGCTTTTATTGGACTGTCACTGGCCCTCTTTTTCCCCTGAGTGCTGATTATCTTTTCCATTTACTCCACACTCCCAGCTCCGGCTGTTTCTGTTCCCCTGGCCAGGCCTCCATAAGGACAGTTCAGGCCAAAATTCTGGGACCCTGTTGTTTTGGGAAGGGAAGTCAGGCACGGTGACCCTGCTTTACAAGAATAGCAGTAGCAGTTATTTAGATCAGTGGATGGTACTGCCTCATTGGGTGAGGCCCTGGAGGTCTAAGAATCGAAAGACCTTTTATATCATGCAGTTTTTCCATGAGGTACTGAGGAAGTCGAGAAATTCTCCCACATGGCCCTAAAGGGAAAAGATAAAGAAAAAAAATATATAATCAAGATTTCCAGCTATGTAATTCCCAGGACATTAAGCAATCATAAATAAGCTTTTAAAAAAATAAATTCTTTTTTTTTTAAATTTTTTTTTTTTTTTTTTTTTTTTTTGATACCGGGGATTGAACTTGGGTCCTTGTACTTGCAAGGCAGGCGGCAGAACCGAAAAAAATAAATTCTTAAGTGTAAAGAATAATGTTGAGCTTTGTACAAAAGCAGTACTAATGGTCAAAATAAATAAGAACTGGGCATCTGAGGTATTTACCTGCAGTTGAAGTGATTTATCTCATGGAAACGTGCTTCTGTCAACACAGCTGGGCTGTTTGCTATTGTTTTAGAGAGGAATTTCTCAGAAGATAATTCCTAGGCCCCCTCCAGCAGAATCACCTGGGTGCTAGTTAAAAATCTAGATCCCTGTATTAGTGTCAAGCCAGGATGCTTTCAGCTACAAATGATAGAAAACTGAACTCAAAATGGCTATAGGAACCGGTTAATTCAGAGACTCAATAACCTCTTCAAAGACCCTTCTTTTTAATCTTTCTTCCTTTTTGTCACTTTGTCTTCATGCTAGTTTCCTTCATGACTGGAAGACGGCTGCCATAGGCCCCAGTGATATTCAGCCAAAAGACTCTTGATGTGAATGGTGAGTCTCTTGTCGGGCCTCCCTACCAGGGCTGGCTTCCTAGGCGCCTGGTGGCCACATCGGGCCTTGTGCTCAGAAGTGCCCGATGGGTTAATGTCTGCTGTCATCACTTTTCAGTTCTTGTAATTTTATCTGTGAACTTACGTTCACGAAAGTGAAGTCTCAGAGGAAAATGGGACATGGACACCATCTGAGGAGATGTGTGCCTTTGTCCTTCCTCATCATCCTACTCACACAGCTTTGTAGTGTCCCACGAATGCCCAGAGATTACATTGGAGCTTGGCAAGACTCAAAGTGAATACAAGGTATAGGGGAGGAAAAAGAATTCTCCCTCTACCCTGTAGTTCTTAGCTGAGATGAATTTCTACAACAAAAGACAGATGAAGAGAAAGAGAAACAACTTGAACTGCATTTATTCTTCCTCTACACATGGGAGATACTCAGAGAAATGAATAAATCTCAAAGAAGTTTTTAATTTAGAGTTAAAAACCAATGTCCCCTGAAAGAAAGAAAGAAAGAAAGGAAGGAAGAAAGAGAGAGTGAGGGAAAGGCTGGTTATGAAGAGAGGCTTGAAAAAGCAAAGCAAGCAAGGGTAAGGGTAGTTACGCAGAGTTAAGCTGCGTCTTTCTGATGAGGTTTTTGTGATGTAGTTATCCTCTCTCCCCAGCACCTTGACAAATTTCCTCTATAGAAGTAAATTTTCCCCATAAAAGGGTAACTTCTACTCTGTTTTTAGAGCCCTTCCTGTGTCTGAAATTTCTCAGAATGTTTGACTCCAAGTAATCCTTATGCTAAAAAGGCACATTTTGAGTTGCCATATTCTAGTCTCCCATAAGGGCATCTCCTTGTTTTTCACGTAGTTTTAGAGCAGCATTTGGACTAACTGCACACATTTTCACAAATACTTCTCCTTTAGAGGTTAGAATTATTAAGACTAACAGCTCAGTGGGTGGGTCTTTCTTTTCTAGACACAATCTCATGTTAAGGTAAGAGACACGAGAATAAGAGAGACGCCAGTTTATGTAGTGTGGTTAACTGACCAGGCTGCCTCCAGGAACAGTGAGCTGAGTCCCAGAACATTTAATGTGGGCTCCTGTTAATTAAGGATCATATTTGCTATTAAAATATGACTCTATTAGAATAACTATCCAACATTTCAGCTAATGTGCTAATCATCTATTTTTTTTTTTTTTTTTTGAGATTGGGTCTCCCTATGTAGCCCAGGCTGGCCTCGAACTCAGAGCAATCCTCCTGCTTCAGCCTCCCATGTGCTAGGATCATAGGCATACACCACCACACCTGGCGAGTCAACTAATTTAACTTCTTCAGTTCTACATGCTTTCAGAAGTTCTGATACTCCTATAGTTTCCCTCTCACCGTTATTGAACGCTTTGCTATGGCTCCTGCTGCTAGCAACAAAAAGTCTGAGAAACAAACAAACAAAACAAACAAACTACATAGACACAATTTTTAGACCCTTTAAGGTTCCCAGACCCTTTAAGATCTGAGGATGGAATTTTCAGGAGAGCTTTCTTACTACATAGAAAAAGAAACTGAAATCCAGAGCAATATGATTTAAGTGAAATCATACTGCAAGTTAGCAGCGGAATCAGGTTGGAATTCAGGTGTCCCTCCTGTGTTACTTTCTGGCCGCAGGTCCAACATCCATGGATCAATCTTCTACCCCTTTCTCCAAATTTTTTCTATCAGCCTCAGCACTGAATCTTCTGTAACATTTCTTGTGGAGTGGAATGAGGAAAAATATCTTCACAAGTGGCATTAGAACTCCTATTAGGAAGGAAACTGTCTAAGAAAAATCCCTTGATAGGCACTTGGGGATAGAAGGTCAGATCCTTAGGTTGGCAGAGAAGAAGTGATCTATCAATTGTTCTGGACAAGAGATGTACAGGGATTGGGCATGTTCAAAGGATAAAAGAAAAGGGAGCCAATACAATTTAGAGAGACGAAAACTAGAGTTGCTTGAAATTTGCAGAGGGAGTCCTTAAAAATACAGATTTTTTTTTTTCATACTAAATTAACGTGTTTTCATTGCTGCAAACTCAAGGTAAATTCTTCCTCCATTTTCCTTAAAATGTCGGCAAAGGCCTTGCAAGATATGGGGGAGAGGGGATGGGACGGAGGGGAGGGATGGGAGGGGTGAAAGAGACCCAAGGATAGGGACTGAGTTCGTGGGACTCGCACTCCAGGACTGGGTAAGAAAAGGAGCCACATGCACTGAGAGGTTCAGCACACTGGTAAATGTAACTAATTCCAGACCCAGAGGAGACCACAAAAACGTAACTGCTGTGAGAAAGTGAGGATGTCTTGAGGAGAGCACTGAACTTTCCACAGGATGTGGAACGGAGATTTGTCAATCTTATCTGGACCTCAAGTGGCAGGGTCTCTGCCGCTGACATTTGGGTTATGTTAGATTTTTATTTTATTTATAGCATCAAATCCACTTCCTTGACCCTCCACAATCTTGCCTCACCCTGTGAAGCCAGGATATACCCAGAGTCTCTCTGCTCCAGTGAGGGTGGTGTCGTTGTAGCCTCAAGAACACCTCAGGCTGACTTGGAGCCGGGACTTAACTTCCTTGGATCTTGAAAGCCCTTCCTGCCCCACTGTTCACACTATTCATCCATCGTAGCCACGCAACTCGAGCCCCTGTGTGAGGGAGTGGTCTCCTCCAGCCCTCACTGCCTCTGTTTCTGGCTGCTTGTTGCTCCTACAGTTTATACCTGTGAAGTCTACTCTTGGTTAATATACTGCTTTTTAAAAAGAGGCATAAAGTAATACACCGTTTTCCACAAGTTTCCCCCATTACCCATTTAGTTCCACTTGGTCTTCCACTCTGCCATATTGTGGGCTCATTAAGGCCAGGGGTCCAGTTTGTTCCCTCGAACCTCGTGGTGCCTAGCAAGGTGTTGTCTGTTAACATTGACTGGTGGCAGTCAGACTTTCACCTTCCCCTCAGTGACAAAATCCACGCACTGGACCCTGCTGCCCTGAGTATCTCGGTTGTATCCCTGCACTCATCAGCAAGGAGCCTTCTGGGACTGTTGAACCTTCTTCTCAGTCTCACTTTCAAGTCAAATTTCTCTGCAGCTGCACTGATGCCAAGAAGCTGGGGTGACGATCAGTATCCCACGGAGCCCAGAGCTGATTTGTGAACCCCCAGCTTGCCCTTGTCGAGCGGGATTGGCTCCTGCTTTGGAAGACCTTCTGCCATAGCTTATAAAGGCTTCTGGTCTTTGATGGGCACATTTAGTATCAGATTACAGTAAAAAAAAAAAATAGCTTCAATAGTCAACCAAGAATGCACATATGCATGCATACATATGTGGCCAAAACAGAGGTTTTATTAAAAATACCCTATTTTATGAAAGTTACATTTTTTCACTTACTTAATTAAAAATGGTGACAGCAGCTCACTGAACTAATTTCATGACTCACTAATAAGCTGTGATTTGCACCTTAAAATATTGTTCTGGAGGGTCAGAGGACAGCTGGCAGGGGGACGCAGCCATTCTGAGACCCTCAAAGGCTGGCCCCTGGGGACAGGAGCTGGTTCTGGGTCGCTGCTTCCCCTTCATGCTGTAAGTTCAGTTCGAGGTAAAGAAGCTGCAGGAGAGGCAGACTGATGTGGCATTTACAGCTGGCTCTGCGTGCAGGGGCAGGTGGCAGTTTCCTGCAGAGCGGCATCTGAGGCAGGCCATGAGGTCGCCCAGCGGGGGCCAGACATTGTGCATCCTGTTATGTGGTGACAGGGTGGCATTGTGGTGGCACCTCATGGGGCACATTGAGTGGGAATCTCCTGTCCGTGGCTACTGATGAGAGGCGGGCACTGGAGGATGGAGGCTGGGGAGGAAGGAAGAGACAAACACAGGTTCTCACTGCCATTGAGGGATGGTAAGCGTTCAGGAACCCGCCTCGGAAAGTCCAGCTCCCTGGGGCCCTCCTCGGGCTCCCTCTGTGTCCAGAGCAAGCTCTATCAGTGAGGGTCAAGGACAAACACAGCTCGGCTAGGCCTCTGCCTGCCGACAGCATTCTTGGGCCAAGTGGAGGAGCGGCCACGTGGGGCAGGAGGCCCTGAGGAGATTACCCTGGCTGTAGCATCTTATCAGGGATGCCGCAGACAAGAGGTGACAAGGAAGCGTTAAAAGTCAACAAGGTGCTGCTGAGGCGTACTGGCTCGCTTGTTCCCTACCATCAAGGGAAGCGGCTCAGCAGCTCCTTTCCACCCTGGCCTCAACACCCTAGGGTGCAGGGTGCCCAGGGCATTAGCTTCGCTGGCTCTGCAGGGGACAGGGGAATCTTCTCCA